GAAAGATAGAGAATTCTTGAAAACCTGTGAAATTTTACTATTTCCTCAGCATCAGCATATACTTGTGGGCATGTACTTGTGTACATGTATACACATACATATTTTTATCTTCTTAGTTGCTTTTAATGTTAGATGTAAGAACTATTTACTAGAATGTTTTTAATATCCAAATGTGGGGTAGTTTAAAAATTTGCTATTTCTTTAATACACCTCCCTTTAAAAGGTGGAGACCATGACGCATGGACTGAACTTAGCAAGTCACTTCTAATGAAGAACATATGGCAGAAAGGACATTGTGTCCCTTCTGAGAGTAGGTCATAAAAAAGCATTGTAGCTTTCTTTCTTTCTTGGATTGCTCACTTTGGAGAGAGCCAGCTGCCATGTTGTAAAGACACATAAGCAGCTTTATGAGAAACTCATGTGGTGAGGAACTGTGGCTTCCTGCCAGGAACCCTGTGAATGAACTTGGTGATAAATCTCCAGACCCAGTAAAGTCAGCCCTACCCAACATTTTGAGTACAGTCATGAGACACCCTGAGTCAGAACCACACATCAAAAATAATCCCTGAATCCTGACTCACAGAAACTGTGCGATATTAAACGTTTGTTATTTTGAGCTACTAAGTTTTAGGATAATTTGTTACACATCATAGCTAACCACTACAAAGTGTTTCACTGATTTTTGAAAATCTCTTATTCCTTTCAGAGCTTCTTAGCCTGTACACTTCTACCTTTTGGGACATACTGAGATTCTTTTTAGCATGATCAATGATCAATTAAAAATGAAATACTGGAAAAAGCCTGCTCTGTATTAATTACATTTATTCAACACTTCTTTTTTTGTCTCTTTAATCCAAGAAACATTACTATTACTATTGTCAGTTTCTCCTTATTTTTTGGTTTTTATTTTATATATTTCAATACAGTGTAACTTGAGTTATATATTTATTTTTATATATATTTGGATATAAAATTGTTTTAATTTTTTTTTTTTGCTATTTTGTTAATGTTACATACCCTATTCTCCGAGTTGATGTTTTCCTTTAAACTTTAATATTTTTAAAAAGCTTTTTGTTTTTCAAGCCTATACTTTGGTTTTAGATTTAGGATGCAGGGTCTCTAATTAATTTCATGAATCTTAAATATCTACTCCTATCAAAGAATAATTTTCAAAATGTTAAAAATATTATACATACAAGTAAAGAAAGAAGTTGTCTAAAATACATTGAACTCATTCATAAGAACACTGGACAGACAGGATGGTAGTGAGACTAGCTCAAGACCATTTGTGTAATTTAATATTTATGATCCCCGAGGAAGAAATGCCAGGATGGGTGGGCTCATTCAAATACAGTTCTGCCAATCATCTCCACGTCCATAAGGAAGTAACTTTGGGGTTTCTAGACAGAAATCATTTGCATCCCTCATGGACAAAACTATACAGGTAATCACGTAACTTAAGTATCTGGCCCTAATGAATAATAAATATCAAGCAAAATGAAAGGACATATAAATAATCCTCGGGTAGGCTTGTCAGTGCTCTAGTATGAATGAAAAGAAGTGGAATCTTTTTTTGACTTATTTACAGGAGTTGGGTAAGTTTTCTTAGCACACACCTGCTAGAAATTCCACCTCTTTGACCTAAACATACAGCAGTTTCAGAATGAACACCAGTACCACAAATGGTAGGCATCCATTTTACATATATACTTCAGATTTTGGCAAATGTAGTTATTCATGTAATTGTCTAATCAATCAAGAGATTGATTGATGTCTGTCACCAAAAAAAGATCATTGGTCTTATTTTCTGTGTCAATTGAATTTGCTTTTCCCAGAGTTTCATCTAAATGTCATCTTACACTATATACTGGTTTGTGTCTTGCCTTCTTTCTCTCAGCATAATGTCTAAGAGATAACCATGCTGTTGTGTTAGTTCATTCTTTTTTTTGCTGAGAAGTTCTGCATTGTACTGATAGACCACAGTTTATTCATCCATTCACCAGTGGATATTTTGGCATTACCAAGTTTTTCAGTACCTGCTGTTTCTCTGTTTCTCGGTCATTTTGCTGTCAGCAGTGTTTGTAGTTTTCAGTATAGGAACCCTTGTGTGCCTTTTAAATTTATTCCTAAGGAATTCATGTTTCTTGATGCTACTATTGTAAATGGAATTTAAAAATGTATTTTCCAGTATTTCTCTCTCTCTCTCTCTTTTCAAAGATTTTATTTATTTTATTTATTTGAGAGAGAAGGGAGGAGCAGAGAAGGAGAAGCTGACTCCATGCTGAGCACAGAGCCTGACGTGGGCCTTGATCACAGAATCCCAAGATCATGACCTGAGCTGAAATCAAGAGTCAGATACTTAATTGACTAAGCCACCCAGGTGCCCCTTCCAGTATTTTTTTGTTGATAAATACAGACGATTTGCATTATTTTGTCATTGTGCCCTGTGTCCTTGCTAGTTTCACCATTAATTTTACTAGTGATTTTCTGTGTAAACAGTTGAACTTTAAGTGTCTGTGAGTGGAGGTAGTGGCTACCCCCACCCCTTACCTTTTTGTATTGGCTAGGACCTCCAAAATAATGCTGAATACAAGTTGTACCTTGTTCCATATTTAATTAGGAAGGGAATGTTCTGGATTTCACAGGTAAATATCGCTCTTGCTGATTTTTGGACGCCCTTTGTGAAATGAAGTTTGCTTCTTTTCTCTTAGTGTGCTAAGAACTGAGTTTTGAATTTTGTCAGATGCCTACATTTATGGAGAAGATGATATGATATTTCTTCATTTTTCTGTAAATATGGCACATCACTTTTTTTTTTCAAGTTTTAAGTCAGTATTGTATTCCTGAGATAAACACCACTTGGTCATGATTGTTTTCTTTTCACATGTTGTCGATTAGATTTCCTCATATTTTTGTTAACAATTTTTGTGTCTGTGTTTATGAGGGTTATGAATTGTGTAGTAATGTTTTTCTTAGGTTTCTGTAAGTTATTATATTGACTCATAAAACATTTTTTGAGAGACATATGTGTAAGACTGGTGTTATTTCTCCCTTGTATGGTTGAAAGAGTTCACCAGAACCCATCTGGGTTTTGACTTTTTTTTTTTTTAGATTTTATTTATTTATTCATGAGAGACACACAGAGAGAGGCAGAGACACAGGCAAAGGGAGAATCAGGCTCCCTGCAGGGAGCCCGATGCAGGACTCAATCCCAGGACCCCGGGATCACGCCCTGAGCCAAAGGTAGACTCTCAACCACTAAGCCACCCAGGTGTCCCTGGGTTTCAGCTTTTCTTCATGGGAAGGTTCTTAATAACAAATTCATTGAAAAAGTAATTTTAAGGCTATTCAGATTTCTCTCTTATTTTTGATAGGTTTCATTTTCAAGTGTCCATTTCCTCTATTTCTGGAAGAGTAGTAGTCCTATCCCCACTTTTGTTCTGATTTTAGCCATCTGACTGTCTGTCCTTTCTGTTCAGTTAGTGGAGCTGAGAGTTTGTAAATTTTGTTGATCTTTCCAAAGAATCCTTTCGGGTTTTGTTGTCTTTTTGGTGTGTGTGTGTGTGTGTGTGTGTTGTGTTTGATTGTTTGTTTGTTTTTTGTCTATTTTACTTGTTCCTCTAATTCCTTAAAGCTGTAAAATGAGGTATTGATTGTGATCTCTTTTGTTTTCTAGTATTTGCATTCAGTGCTATGAATTTCCCCTTGAATACTTCTCCCACTGCATTTCCCAAAGTTTGATAAGGTCTATTTCATTTTCATTTAGTGCAGAGTTTTGTTTTTGTTTTTTCACTTTTTCTTGAGCTTCCTCTGTGATGGGTGTGTTGCTTGGAAGTATGTTTAATCTCCAAATATTTGGGCATTTCTCAGATAACTCTCTGTTACTGATTTCTAATTTAGTGACTTTGTGATCTGAGAACATACTTTGTATGATTTCTCTTTTGAAAAATAAGGTGTGTTTTATGGCCCCACACATGGTCTCCATCAGTGAATGTTCCACGTGAGCTTGAGAAAAATGTGTATCTTTCTGTTGCTGTATAGAGTATTTTTCTTTCTTGGTGGATTGTCTGGAATTTGTATGTAATATGTGTCTTATCAAGTAAATATGTATTTTTACAACTAAAAATTAAGTAGCTTCCAGTGAGTATTTTTGCAGTCACAGTACTCCTGTTCAAAACAAAAATTATATAAAATAGGTTTCCAAACTAGTTGTTGCCGAGAGGCAGAGATTATAACACAGTCAGTGCTTATACTTCTGGACATTTCTTTCAATAGCAGTAATTTTTGCTTAGCTAAGGACCATTTTCAGCTCTGTGCTACTGGTTCTCTTTTTCTCTATACCTTATTTCAGGGAAATAATGATCCTTATTTCAAGGAAATGTAAAGAATGCTCCCTTCACAGAGATTACACATTTTGCTATTTGCATAATAGGAGAATATATTTGACAGTACCATAATTTCGTTAAAAATGATTAATAGATATCCTTAAAGATATGCATAGTGATGTATTTAGCTTTATGATGAAGAATGGATGGAATAATTATAATGAATTTAGCTCATGTTTGCTCTTGTATCTCAGATATATTGTGGTGTGGTCTTATTCAGTGAAATGGAGAAGACCTAGTGTTTTGTTTTGTTTTAATCTGTTTACCACTACTTGCTTACTAATCTGACCCTGTAATTCTTTATTTTTTTCACTTTTCCAGTTTTCTTCCTTTTTTCTTTGTTCTCAGCTTCCGGTTTGTAAATGCTGGTGAGTCCTTAGGGGGAAAAATTAGAAGAGTTGCTGTGTGTTCCTTGTATGGAGGTGGCCATTGGGTTGGGTTTTGTCGTTATTGTTGGTTTTCAGTATAATAATGGCTTCCTGTTACTCCAAGTCTCACCCTAGATGTGGATTCTTCTAGGAGTGTGCCGGCATTTCAGCTCCCTACCCAGCTGTTGCTTCCATCCTGCTCCTTGAGAGTATGCATAATTAATGACCATGACTTTTTGTGTTCCAGCCTGAAAGAATAGACCCGAGTGCATCACGACAAGGATATGACGTCCGCTCTGATGTCTGGAGTTTGGGGATCACATTGGTATGTTCGTCTTCATAGTGTAGTAGGAAATTTAAAATTACAAGAAAATTTTATCAGTTTTCCACCCCTTGTAAGAACTGCTTTTTTCCCTTCCTCTTCTAATCTTTGACTTTTACTTAGTTTTCTCCTATGGTTACAATCACAGGGACTGTGCCTTCTAGTTGTTGAAGTAAAGTATATGTTTTACTCTAACGTTCAAACCAGTTGATGGTCCCCCTCAAGATTTTATGTAGTGTACCTCAAGGTTTTATGCATGCTCTTTGATGTTACTCTGGGTCTCTTGGCCAGAGATATTAGGAGTCAGCAACCATACCAGGGACAAGGACAGGGGGAGGGCAGCTCACCTGTAGTCAGCGCAGCAGTGACTGGCTCCTCCCACCTCAAATGAGGGTGGTGTGTGTGGTAACACTCTGTGCAGCATGTGTATTAGGTATATAAATTCACGTGCATGAAAATAGTTTCTACCTGGAATCTTCTGCTCACTGAATAGAAAAGTCATGAATGAGTGAGCTGAAAGTAATTCAGTTCTGGAGGAACACAAACTACCTAGGTGATCATCCTAGTAAAATTCTACCTTAAAACAACACTGAGGAGGAACAGTGAGAAAGCTACTTAATTTGCAACAAAGTAGATATAATAGACTTCTCATCTGTGACTGTATTGAAATTTTCCTTCTGTCTTAAAAGTATCTTTGTTTGCTTATTACTTCCTTATTATTGAATTTTGGTGCTTTCTGTGTTTTATCATGGCTTGGTGGCCTTTTTCTGACTTTGGACATCTTCTGGTACACTGTGTGAATTTCCCATCACTAGAGGGGGCTGTGTCCTGTTTGGTAGGCAGCCCCAAACTTCATTTCCTGCCATTTTTAATAAGGTCCCACAGCATAAAGGTAACACTAGTTTGGAGCAAAGAGGTTTTTTTTTTTTGTAACTTCCTAAATGATCTCCATCTGTTCGTTGGCATTATGAGGTCCTAAGATCTTCCTATGGATGAGACCCATAGTTCCCCTGGTGAGTCACCCTTCTAGGCCTAATGAATTTTCTGTACAAAGAGTTTGAAGGCTAATAGCTCTCCTCTGCAGAAGACTCCATCTGGTTTCCTTTATGACGTGGGATGGATGATACCTCCTGGAGTATTTTCTTATTGTGAAGCCAACTGACCAAAGGAGAGAAGTAATCCCTTTGTTTAGTTAGGAGAAACCATGGAACATAGACATCTTTTAGGTGTGGTGACTGGTCCAGAGACCTATAGCATGACCTGTACCTTCCTGCTGAGGCACCCAACTGTGTGCATATAAAGGACACTCATGATTCAGAAACACCTGTACAGACAGATTCTGTTTCAAGCCAGTTCTGTTTCAAAAGCATATTTATTTCATCATAAAAACAGAATTTTGTTCTGTGAAAAATTTTAGCAGAAACATTTTCAGCAAGTTCTTTTAGTATATCTGGCTAAACTTTGTTTAGAAGTAAGGTATTCAGTACTTATAATTGCTTCATAATTTATTTTCCATATGGATAATCTTAGAAAAATTAAGAAATGCGTGAAATTTTGTCTAAGTTCCTCAGTTCTTCACCTTATATGGTGCATTTTACTGCTTCCTTTTCTTATTAACACCCCTTTTCAAGAATGAATCTGATGAAGGTATTCCTAGTGTTTTGAATAACCAATAAGGTTTACTTTGTCCCAAGCATTTGTATTTATATCAAAAAGTAACCTCAGCCAGAGGATGGAATTTCTCTGTGTGTAGCACACTTGCCTGCTCTCACACAGGCGTGTGTGTGTGTGTGTGTGTGTGTGTGTGTGTGTGTGTATAAATGGGGACAGTGGTGAGCTGAGGGCGCCATCTTAGGGTGAGGAAGGCCTTCCCACCCCAGTCTCCCATTGGAGGAAGCCCTTAGGTTTGCTTGGCAGCTTTCCTTTCACTGTATAATCTAGCAATTTAATATTTGACCACATCGACACCATCAAATAGTCCTAAACTGAAAAATCTTCGCAACAGTGTCCTCAGACAGCGTCTCTTGGATGCTGTCTCTTCCGATGAACTTGGGGTGTCCCCATCCCATATCAATCCCCTGTCAGTGCCCCTAAAATGGGGCTCATTGGGGCCATGCTGTATATTTAGACCTATCTTTAAAAAAAAAAAAACAAAAACACAGATTCTCGGTTCTCATTATCCTCAGAACAGAGGGATAGAAAGATGAGAATATAGTCCACAGATATGTTTGACCTTTGACCCATTGGGACATACTTCTGTAAGTTTCTCCAGATATGATTTGGCCTGGTTTAAAGATACTATCCTGAACACTGTTACTGGGGGTCAGCATTTGGGGTTTGACCCAAACTTGATTTCTTCAGTTATAGTAACATCTGCTTGTTGAAATTGTAGTAACCACAGGATGGCTGGAGAACAGAATTTGCACGTTGCTTCCTTTGAGCTCAGGTTGGGCTTTTGTTGGTTGAAAGTTCATTTACATTAAAAATGAATTTGGCTACCATTCTGGATATGGCCTTCCATTCATTTTTTTTTTTAAGATTTTATTTATTTATTCATAGAGACACACAGAGAGAGAGAGAGGCAGAGACACAGGCAGAGGGAGAAGCAGGCTCCATGCAGGGAGCCTGACGTGGGATTCGATCCCGGGTCTCCAGGATCACATCCCGGGCTGCAGGCGGCGCTAAACCGCTACACCATGGGAGCTGCCCATGGCCTTCCATTCAGATAACTATAGATTATACATACTTTGTACCAAGAAAGTTCTAAAACCAGCCTTCCACGGGCAGCCCTGGTGGCACAGTGGTTTAGTGCTGCCTGCAGCCCGGGGTGTGATCCTGGAGACCTGGGATTGAATCCCACGTCGGGCTCCCTGCATGGAGCCTGCTTCTCCCTCTGCCTGTGTCTCTGCCCACCCCCCCCCCCCGAATAAATAAATAAAAAATATTTAAAAAAATAAAAAATAAAACCAGCCGTCCAGTATGTTTCATACAAAGGGATCAGAATCGAGGACTACCCTAGCCTTTGTGCGGTGGTGACATCATCTGGGCTTAAATCTGGTGTTTCCTTTTAGTCCCAGTCTTGAACTCAGTTGATACAGAGTTTTTCCATTATTATCTTGATTTCCAAATACCCTTTCCACTTAGCCTGAATAATTGCAAAAATTTTACCTCACCCTCATCTGTGTTCGATTCAAGGCTTTACAAGAATTTTGCTTGGAATTCAGATTTTCAATGTGGGCATTCCGGTGAGGAGCAGTAACTAATGCCGTCTATTTTGCTTTTCCCTCCATGTTCTTTTTAGTACGAGTTAGCCACAGGCCGGTTTCCTTATCCAAAGTGGAATAGTGTATTCGATCAACTCACACAAGTTGTGAAAGGGGACCCTCCACAGCTGAGTAACTCTGAGGAAAGGGAATTCTCCCCAAGCTTCATCAACTTTGTCAACTTGTGGTGAGTAATCGATTTCCAAATTCTCAAAATCCATGTAGTGAGTACAGCAAAGCTTCTTTAATTTCAGCAGCATTGATCCTTTTTGTTGGGGAAGGGGAGCTTCTTCCAATCACTCTGCTTCTGAGCTGGGACTCTGGGTTACTGTGGCTGCCTGGAAGGTTCCAGCTGACATGGAGAGCATCACTCTCTTATTCTACTACTCTTACCGGATGAAAACAGATGTGAGGTGGTGGAGAGGCTGCTGCCTCCAGATTTCTAATGCCTTGTACTAGAAATACAACCCAGGTGAGACTAGTCGTCTTAGTCTGATGTGGTTTTAACAGTGAAGTTGTACTAGCATCACGTGGAAGCTTTTACTAAGTTAAGACCCTACCAGGTCAGACTGCAATTGCAGGGGCGGATCTCCCCTCTGACATAGCTTGTAACCTGGTGGGATATGTGCAGTAGAGCCAGGCCCAAACCCCAGCTGGTAGGCTGTGTGTTGGCTCTCTGAAACCTTATTCCATGGGAAATGTGCACCCAACACCTGGTGGTGTTTGTGTACCTTGTCACATGTGTGTGTATCTGTGCACACCTTTGTGTGTAGAACATAAAAATATGTGCAGATATGACAGGAATGCAGTTGTGCTTTGTACTATTTCAGTCTGTTTTTTCAATGAAGCCTGTTTTCTTATCATTTGAATATTTTTGATAATTTATCCAACATGATTTAAAAGTAGGATGTGTTTATTCTTTTTCTTTTTTTAAAAAAAAGATTTTATTTATTTATTCATGAGAGGCACAGAGAGAGAGAGAAGCAGAGACACAGGCAGAGGGAGAAGCAGGCTCCCCTCAGGGAGTCTGATGTGGGGCTTGATCCAGGAACTCCAGGATCATGCCCTGAGCTGAAAGCAGAGCTTAACCGCTGAGCCATCCAGGCATCCCAGGATGTGTTTATTCTTGAAAATACTTTTCTTTTTCTCCAAATTTTTTTTCTTGCCAGGACTGCTGTGTCTCCCTCTTCTTTTCCTAGAAGACTTATGTTTCATGGTTGAACATTGCCCTCTTTTGGAATAATTAGAAAATATTCAAGTAATTAAAAAATATAATTAGAAAATATTTCATCTTCTGTGATGAAATTCTCCTTTTGCATTGGTTTTCCAGGGGGAAGAGGAATACCTCAAGGTTTTCTATTAGAAAGCCACTCAGATTGGCTCTTTGTTCCTTTGCACGCAGATCTACAATTTATAGAATTACATGTGATTTTATATATTCCATTTTAATGAAGCAATTTGGCTAAAGTAATGTATGTGAGTCATAGAGCATAGTAGTTTCTAAAATGCTCACGTGTGACACTACCACCAGAGTGGCTTTCTTCTTAATCCCTTCATCTCTTTGCTGGTTTTGTTGTAAATATGTTTAGTACTTGTGTATTTTTTTATTTCTGTGTCCCTTGGTACCAGTTCTCCCCTACAGGTAATGGGTATAGACATCAGTGTCGCATTGTTTTCTCTGAGTAGGTCCATAGTTCCATCTCATCCCAGATCATCTGGGTCTGTAGTCAGAAGTACATCTGTTTTTATGACCTGCTCCTGCCAGCTCTTCACACTTGTCCATTCTCCTTTCCACTGTCCTGGGGGCATTTTTTATCCTCTCTGACCTGGATTGTTCAGGTTCTAGTGGTTTTCCTCATAATCCAATATCATGTTGTTCCAAACCATTCTTCTTTTTGTCAGAGTTGTATTTTTGTGATGCACATCTGATCATGTTACTTTTTGTTTAAAGCTGTCCTAGAGCATGCATTTTTAACAGTGTGATATCATCACTCCATAGGGGGCAAAACTTTGTTGGAGAGGCAGAAACTCTTGGATAACATAATGGTTTGCAGCCCTCCACAGGGCTACTGTGGAATAGAAACAGGTATACAGTGTTTAAATTTCATAGGAAGGAAGGGGCAACAAGGAAAAAAAGATTGGGGAGCCCTGGTCCAAAGGCTACGTGTAGCCCTAAAAAGATAAAGTCTAAATTAACCTGGCTTTCCAAACCCAATATGATCTGGACGGGGTTTATTGTTTTAGCCACATTTCTTAGTCCTCCCATGGAGCTGTTTTTCAGCCAAATTGAGTTTCTTCAGTTGTGTAAGTTAAACATGTATGGAAGATATGGGAACATATTCTCTTGGCCTTTGGGTAGATTAAGATTTCTTTAACAGTTCACAGAAAGCAACTATGCATAAAAGAAGAGATAAAATTCAATTTCATTAAAATTAAGAATGTTCATTGATTAAGAAGATACCATTGAATGAACAGCCAACCCATGCAGTGTCCTTTCCATACAGATGTTTGAAAAAGGATTTTCATTCAGAATGAGAGTGTTCATGTGTAGAAAACACTTATAAACAAGAAAGTGACAACCAAAAATGGCCAAATATGTGAAAGGATGCTTAAAAACATGATATTCAGGAGTTCAGTAAACATATGAAAGGGTATTCATTTGGCATTATTAGATGCCAGGGGAACGCAAATCAAAACTATGATGAAATACCAGATAGTCACCAGAAAGGACTTCATTTTAAAGACTTCAAGTACACGAGGGTCTAAAGCAGCTGGAAGTCCCTTACAGTACTTACAGACCTGTAAATTGGCGCAGTCTCTTTGAGAAGCTGTGGCAGGACCTCCCAGAGTTGGTGGAATACAGCTGGTGCATACGTTTTGCTCCAACAGTTCAAGTCTCTAGTAAACTTGGTGAAACCACCAACAGAGGCACACTACAAGACATGATAATAATGTCCAGAACCGCAGATTTGTAATAACCTCTAGCTGGAAAGAAGAGCATCTGTCAACAGTAGACTGTAAGTTCTCGCAATGTTTACACGGCAGTATACGGCATCAGGGATGGGACTGTCACCGCACTCAGCACCAGGGGTAAATCTCAGACAGCACTGAGTGAGAGGAGGAGGACATAAAACAGTGTGTATGGTTTCATTGATATGAAACTGAAAAAGCAGACAAGAATGAATAAAAGGTAATAGAGTCAAATATTGTTACTCTTATTTTTGTTCCACACTTAGGACGTGTGTTCTTTTCTGAATACATGCTTCAATTAAAAGATTGCTTAAGGAATAAAAAGGAGATGAGGGCTTAGAGGCCAAAGTGACGATACCAGCTCACAGTTTACATTCCTCCCTGCTTTAACTTCCTATTTAAGTCATTAATGGAATTTTAAAAAAGTATTTATTTGTTCTGAAAAAGGGTAGAAGTACTATCCTTGAGGAGTTCTTGTGAAATTGGAAAGATAAGGCTGAATTCAGGGATGGGGTGACTGGTCTCACATTTGCCACATGCAGAGGGACAACATCACAGGGAGGGTGTAAGACCGGCACAGAAATTCCTCAGCTTAGCACAGAGGCCCTGCGGAGGAGGCAGCTTGGGGGACAGGTCTCCAGGAATCAAATCTTGATCCTAAAAACATCTTGAAGGGAGTGTTGTCCATAGTGGGTTCCAGACATGGCTGGGACTCTGTGGCAGTATTCATTCCTGCCTTTGCTAGAGATAGCGAAGACACTATATTGGTTAGAGGCTGGGGAGCATGGTGGAAGCTGCTCTAACAAACCCAAGAAATGAATCCCTTGGCATGGGGATGGTGCTCTAGAGATAGCTCTCCACATTTTCTCACAGTCACCAAGGTCTGTGACCAGGATCAGCTTGTGGTGTCCGATCAGCATTGATGTCCCGCTGGGGCATGAGGAAACAAAAATGAAGATGAGAATTGTATCAATCTGAAACATTCAAATAAACAAACTCTTGTAAAATGTGCCACTGAAGAATTCAGGGGGGAAAAACTGGTGAGAATGGACTAATTTGAATTCAGGAAGAGTTTTCAAGTAGCAAAACATGGTTTCTGAATTGAAGGGAGAGGAAGTGGTGGTACATAGCATATTGAGTATTGCAAGGTTGACCAAATCTATGAAGTAGGCAACACCCTTGAGTTAATCTTGCAGATAAAAGGGACAAAAAGATAAACAAAAGACAAATGATGAGAGATTTGGAGAAAAAAAATCCAGGAGATTCCACTTAACCGGTAATAGAGAATTAAAATGAACTTTTTCTTTACTTGAAGAAAAACTTGAGTCCTAAATTAAAATACCAGACCAAATTAACCAAAAGGAAAAAAAAAAAAAGCCATGTCTAGGCATGATGTAAGATTTTGCTGTTATCCTATGCATTTCAGAGATAAAGAAAACTTGACAAGCTTTCATTTAAAACACAGGCACATATAAATGTACACACCAATGAAGAAAGATACAAAATGAGAGCAATACCCAAAGAGTGAAGAAACAGCTATAGAATGATAAGTGTGACCACTTCAGGTTATTAGGGTGGAATCAATCTTGAACAATAATTGCACCGAAACTACTAAAATACTGGATAAAATATTATGGTATCTTTTTAAATGTAACAATACAAAACAGAGTTCTAAAACTAAGTGAAATCAGGACTTACGGGAGGTAAGATATCTGATAAGGGGTTAATATCCACAATATATATAAAGAACTCATACAGCTCAACATGAAAAAACTGCAGATAATTCAGTTAAAAAATGGGCAGAGGACCTGCATAGACATTTTTCCAAAGAACACATCCAGATGGCCAAGAGGCACATGAGAAGATGCTCAACATCACTTGTCATCAGGGAAATGCAAATCAGAACCATAAGGAGATAGCATTTCATACCTGTCAGACTAGCTAGAATTAAAAAGACAAGGAATAACAGGTGTTGGCAAGGATGTGGAGAAGAAGGAAAGCTGCATGCACTAGTGGTAGGAATCCACTGTGGAAACTGCACAGAATTTCCTCAAAAAATTAAAAATAGAAATACCATATAATCCAGTAGTTCTACTACTATTTAGGAAAAGAAAATGAAAACACTAATTCAAAAATATATATGTACCCCTGTGTTTATTGCAACATTATTTATAATAGCCAAGATATGGAAGCAATCTATGTCCATCCATAGATGAGTAGATAAAGGTGTATGGTGTGTGTGGATGGGCACATACACACATATATGTAGTGGAATGTAACTTGATCATATAAAGAAGAAAATCTTACCATTGTTACAACATGGCTGGCCCTAGAGGATATGCTAAATGAAATAAGAGAAATAGAAATGCCATTATTTCACTTATATGTGAAATCTAAAACAAATGAATAAATAAAAAGCAGAAGCAGACCCATGAATACTGAGAATTGATGGTTCCTAGAGGGGAGGGGGTGGGGAAATAGGTAAAACGGGTGGAGGGGAGTCGGAGGTCCAGGCTTCTAGTCGTAGAATGAATAAGTCATGGAGATGAAAGGTACAGCATGGGGAACATAGTGATACTGTAATAGTGTTGTATGGTGACAGGTGAGAGCATGGCATAATGATGTATAGACTTGTCCAATCACTGTGTTGTATCCCTGACACTAGTGTAACATTGTGTGTCAATGATACTTCAATTAAAAAATAAAGTGGCTTAAAATGAATTAGGGGAGGTAAGGATTGTAAGAGGTTGCTGCTTGGACAGACTCAGTTGGCAGAAGCAAGACCAGATCCTTCAAGCTGGTACCCAAGAATTCTCAAAGATAAAATCAAGCGCAATATGAGCTGTTCAGAAGAAATTCCAACATTCATACAAGAAATGAGAATTAGTAGAAACAACTGGTCACAGGAATATATCTGAGGACTTCAGATATGGGAATAATTAGAAACAAAAAAGTTTTTCATAAATTTAAAGAGAAATGAAGAAGCTTGAAAATACAAGCAAGGAACAGAAACTTACAAAACAATGAATTGAACATCCAGAAATAAAAAGCATAAACTAAAAAACTCAGCAGCTGGATTAAGCAGGAGATTAGATGTAATCGAAGGGAAGAGCAGTAAACCGAAAAGTGGCTCTGAAGCTGCCAGCAGAACTTTCGGAGATGATGGAAATGTTTGCCTGTCCATTGTGGTAACGATAGCACCTGATACGTGGCTAAGGAAATACATTTTAAAATGTTATTTCATTGGAATGAATTTGGCAGGTGGCTATCTTAATGGATGCACAGGGCTTAATTTGGGATTAATATGATTACTAATGGCAGCAGCAGTTCTGAAACAGAAGACAGTGTAAATAATTTGGCTAAACATTTCTACTCACATGGCATTATGAGTTTCTATTTTGGCACAGGTTTTTGCTCCATTAAATGACATGGAAAAATAGAAAACCAAAAAGTCGTGGCAGCTTTACAAAGTAAACATCGGTACGGATGGCAGATATGATGGAAGTATGTAAAAAGTACTCTGGAGGTCTGCAGCTTTGCCCTTGCTCTCTCCAGGTCTAGAAGCAGTCAGTGGCAGCAGTCAGTTCCACAAGTGCTCTTTTCTGGCCGGGGACCCACAGCATCAAGCTGTTTAGAAGTCAGGATCTGGGGAGTGAAAGAAATACCCATGTCAGCCGCTGCCTGGGCCTGGCAAGCTGCAGGGCTATGGAACAGCGGGGACTTAGATAGCCAGAGGACCAGGTCTGTAATAATCCTAATACCAGCAGGGGACTGGAACTTCAGGGAGCTGTGATGGGACCTTGTTCTATATTGGTGGACCCGAAAATAAGCAGCCACAGTGAATGTCACAGATACACTGTTCTGTGCATCTCTAGCTGCTCATAGTACTTGGTAGGCGCTCAGAGCATTGTTGAACTGATGTACAGATAACCATGCATACCTCACAAACCAAAATTCCAAAATACATGGAGTCTAATGCTAAGAAAAGCAACTAGTAAAACAGAATGTGAATGTACTTTAAATCAAGCTGAGTTTACGGGATAGTCTAAAATACAGTTCAAAATAAAATAAGTATCTTTAGGATGTACAAATGAAGGAAATGAAGGGGTACGTTCTGTTAAAACTGAGGAAGAAGTAAAACGGCAATGAAACAAATAGAAGTTTTAGAAATGAGAAAACATAGCTATCTTTACAAAGGACAGCAGATTTGATGTACTCTAGACCAGAAACAGTTGAGGACAGAATTGGAAGTTGGCAGATAGGCCTAGGGATTTCCCAGCATGCCACAGATTAGACTGTAGCAGAGAGCAGTTAAGCACCAAGGAGAATAGAATGGGAACTTTTAAGGTGAAAATGTAGTGAAAATGATGAGATAATTCTGGAAGTGGAGAAGTGATATGGGAGACAGTAGTGAAAAGCATTTGAGAAGTGATCTAGGATATGTTCTCAGACTGAAACTAAAGTCTCTGTATGGTGTAGGATTAAATCAAGGTAAATTTATACCTAAATGCATTGAAATAAAAGTGCAGAACAATGATAAAGTATAAATTAGCAGGAAGATAGAATGTCTGTGAGGGAGAGTAGTTAATTAGACGGCTACCAGCTTGTTATCAACAACCACAATTGCCAGAAAATGAGTCCTAGCCCCAGAGTATGGAGGAAAAATCATTGTTAACCTTGTCTTAAAGTTTTAGACCGAGGCATTCAGTTTTTCAGAATAAGGAGGAAATACAGATTTTTTTTTTTCAGGAATGGAAAGACTAATTAAAGAGTTTCCCATTCCTAGATTATTTGAGAAGGTAGACATGGCCAAGAAGGAAAGTGAACCTAACAGAAGAGTGCTGTGCGTCGGTTCCCTGGAAGGCAGAGAACAATGTACAGGATGCTGATGAGGTGGTGGTGACTGTGGGATCAGCAGCTAGTGAGGCAACATTGGGCTATACTGCCTTCTCGGTGAGGGCCTCCGCTGACCCCAGAGCAAGCTTTGCCGCTGGGGTGGTCCTCCCAGGTTGGCCTCACGTTGGATGAGGGTCTTGATTTCTCCACCCCTTTGTGGAGCAGTCATTAGCTCAAGCTGCCCCAGAGGAGCTAAGGTGGCTCTTTTCTGCCGAGGTCAGCCTTAAGAGGCTGGCAACTATCTGCTGGGGGAAGCCCTGCATTCTGGAATTCTTTGTAGCACAGAAGGTGCGGAGTGTAGAACACAGCAATTAGTTTAGAAATAGGTGAACTATGTTGCTAATATTAAGTTTTTAAAAAAAATATATATTTATTTGAGAGTGAGCCTGAGTAGAAGAGGGTCAGGGCAGAGGGAGAGAGAGAATCTCAAGCAGACTCTCCCTTGAGCATGGAGCCTGATGCGGGGCTTAGTCTCATGGCCCTGAGATCATGATCTGAGCCAGAATCAATGAGTTGGACGCTTGACCAACTGAGCCATTCAGGTGCCCCTAATTAACTTTTGATAGTAAAAAAAAAATGAATTTAGTTGAGGTTGGAGGAGAGTGGTGATTAAGATATGGTCTAAGACAAATCTGATAAATATAAACAACGTAAAAATACTTCTGGCAACATTAATTAGACAAGGTGGGATTCAAGGGGCAATATCAGCAGGCAGAGGGTTAAGTAAATCAGTATAGTCCTTAGTGAGGTTGTAGTGTCGTCAACTTTTGGACCAGAGAACACAGGATTTTGAGATAGAGTACAAACATTTTAAAAATCTAAGGATAAATTTATAAGGTTTTTCTATAGTTTACTTGACTCTGGTTTCTCTTTGGTAGTGTCTCTATAAGTACTCCTGTATATATTTAGGAAGCGTGCATGCATGTGTGCACATGCACACAATTTTATACTTGCACATTCATATATTTGTGTAGTATTCTGTAAAGCAGCTGGCTGTGCCATAATTTATCCGATTTTCAGTAGTCAACTTGTTTCTGATTTTTCACTAATGCTTCTACACTGAATATCCTCAGGATAAATCCTTAGATGATACTTGTCTCATTTTTTTGTGTTTTTTTATGTTTGGCAGGTTGTCCTCATTATTACTCTTGTATCTGAAGGAAAAAAAACTGCTTGATTCTTTGTAGTATTTCACTTGTGAAAAGAAAAATACTTGGGTAACTGTGTCTCCATGTTAATAATGGTATTTTTATGTTGTTTTAGCCTTACGAAGGATGAATCCAAAAGGCCAAAGTATAAAGAACTTCTGGTGAGTGTGAGACTTAGGGAATTTTGTTTTATTTTATTTTATTTTATATTTTATTTATTTTTTGACTTTGGGGGGAACTTTAGATATTTCCTCACTGTGAATTCTCTTACCATGCCAGTTCACTAAGCAAGTCCTCTCTATCCTAAACAAACAGCTTGACCTAACTGAATAATTTTTAAAAAATGTTCAAAACAGATATTTGGAAAGAGAAAATTGGAAGTTATAATTTTCCTACCAATTTACCAGCTGGATTCTCAGAAAAAAATTTGGCTTTAACAGGTCATAAAAATTACACCAGAGAATTGTAACACTCTCTTTAAGGAGCCACCTTCCACCACTGTCTGTGTATGAATAACATACCCGTAGGACTTTATTGTGCTGCTTCTACCTTAGTGAAATGCTCTTACACAAATTTACATCACACAGCAAATTCCCATCTCTTTGATAGTTCACTCATCCCTGGGACTTGGGTGTTGTAAGCAGCCCCAGATGTGGCATCGGTCTTGGCAGTGAAGAAGATACTGTAATCTAATATTGTGGGAATATTTTAAGGAAAGACCCCCTTGTCTAGCAGTCCAGGGTGTTAGGTCAAACCTGTGGTCAGTGCCAGCAATGACTAAAGATACCCAGGCGGCGTACTTAGAGAAGCCATGAATAAAAATTGCTGTGTGAAGGGGTGGCTTTGTGATTCAGACATGGGGCTAGACGCTTTGCAGGGAACAGGGCAGAAGCTTGTAGGATGCCATTCTGCTGAGCCTCTTGTAGCAGGGTCTGAAGAACTGGAGTCCTCCTGCTATATGTGGGCAAAGGGAGGTTTGAAGCTTATGTCTGTGTCCCAAGAGGAATGGTGACCAGTATTCGTACAGCTCTTCTTGGATCTCAGATGGTGGCAGAGGCTCCACCTGTGTTCTGGGCTGAGGATCAGTTCTGCTCTCTGCCTCAACAAATACTCCCTGGTGTAGAGATAAGTGTCTCGACTTCATTGCCAGGGCAGCTTTTCCACATGAGGCATACCCACACCCACCAACACATCTCCGTGAAATACAGGCCCTGCTTGCCTCTCTGAACTGGTGCTACGATATCATATGGCCCCATGTGGTTGGGGCCTCTGGTTCTATGCCCTATCGCAATTGGCAAAGTTTTGTGTGGGCTCTGATATGAACTTTGATTTTTTTCCTTTTCCTTTTCTCTGTTCAATTTTCTTGCAGAAACATCCCTTTATTTTGATGTATGAAGAACGTACCGTAGAAGTTGCCTGCTATGTTTGTAAAATCCTGGATCAAATGCCAGCTACTCCCAGCTCTCCCATGTACGTTGATTGATCTCGCTGCTACGTCAGACTCGAGAAAAAAGGGCTGAGAGGAAGCAAGACGTAAAGAATTTTCATCCCGTATCACAGTGTTTTTATTGCTCGCCCAGACACCATGTGCAATAAGATTGGTGTTCGTTTCCATCATGTCTGTATACTCCCGTCACCTAGAACATGCATCCCCGTGATACCCGAGTGACCATGCAGTGTTAGTGCTGGTCAGAGAGACCTCATCCTGCTCTTTTGTGATGAACATATTCATGAAATGTGGAAGTCAGTACGATCAATTTGTCGACTGTGATTAGATCACATCTTAAATTCATTTCTAGACTCGAAACCTGGAGAAGCAGCTACTGGAATGGTGTTTTGTCAGACTTCCCAATGCCGGAAGAATGCGGTGATGGATATACTGTGTCTGAACATAGAGACTCGGGCTTGAGTGAGAAGAGCTGGCGCAGCGAACGAGGCACATGGTCTTCTGGAGCTGGGAGACAAAGGAGGAATTTACTTTCTTCACCAAGTGCAATAGATTTACTGATTTGATATTCTGTTGCTTTACCGTCACAGTCGATGTTCGGGGATCGATTTGCTCAGCCAAATTTCCTGTTTGAAATAATCACATTAAATTAGAATGAATTTATCTTTACCAAAAACCATGTTACATTCAAAGAGGCGGGACATTGAAATATTGAGACAGGACAGAATGTGTTCTTTTCTCCTTTACTGATCCTTCTGCTCTTCATCGGGAAGACTCAGGAGTCTGCCGCTTGTCAAAGAAGGTGCTGATCCTAAGAATCTTCATTCTCAAAATTCGGTGTGCTGCCAACTTGACGTTCCGTCTGCCACAAACCACCCAGACTGAAAGAAGAGAAACGTCCTGAAGGCAAAGTTTACAGATGTTTCTTCCCCCTCGGTCCCAAGCCTGATACTTTAGCCATCATAACTCACTCACAGGGAGAAGCAGCTAGAAGCGATGTGCCTTGACTGATTGCATAGAGATTGCTTGTAGGCAGCACAAGACCAAACCTCAGTCTTTTGCCCTTACTGGCCCAGATCTTCAGTTTCTGAATCCCTCTGCCTGCCCGTCTGGTCTGTTGCCACTCTGTGACTTTTGCTTAATCCCAATATTTTGCCTTTTTTCCTTCCTACATCAAAGCCCTTTTTAATTACCAGGGATGTTTAGCCCCAGATCCCCCCTATGCTATAACATTTAAAAGGCTGAGAAACGTGGGGCCCCACTGATGTGGTAGGTGATCAATATGCATCTTCTAGAGACACATTGACCAGATGAGGGCCTGAAATGGCAGTCCTTTAGAGAAGCTCATTGCCTGTGAGAGTCTCTGGCAGGTCACTGTCATTTTTGGAATGTACATTTCCAAATGTACATTTGGAATGTAGAAGAGGAATTCTACTAAAACAACAACAGCTACCACAAAACCCCAAGCCCCCAGACCACCCCAGAATAGTGATGAGGCCATTTAAATATGCTGCCTGTTGCTATGCTTCTTCACGTACTCATTAGCTAGGTTCCCCTTAGGTTTCGCTGTGGCCTCGCAAGCACCAAGCATTTGGCTTTGTGTGACAGTTAAGCAGCACTGTGAGTGGTTCGAGCACACAGGATAGAAAGCAGCCACAGGCTGAGAGGCAGGTGGTGCCATTAGAACTGGGTGCTGGCAGGTGTTGCTGTGTGCCTCCTCCCAAGGCAACCGTCACAAACGCTATAAAACAGGTGAGGGAGAACGGTGCTGTTTCAAGTTACATCCCTGTAAACTTCAGAATGCAGAAATGATTGATTGCTTTGGTCCACTTGCCTAGTTTCCCTCATTTTTCCCCCATCCCCGGCTTCCTAAACCTTAGACTTCCCCATGTTCTGAAAGGAAGCGTTGCTGCACGTTTTCCTTCGGTCACACCAAGCCATCATCCTCCATTGCTCCCGGGGACTCAAGAGGAAACCTGTTGCTCTGCTGTCAGCTTCCCGTCTGGCTCAGCATAGAGTCACTTTGCCATCGTATACATGGGGATAAAAGCAATTCTGACTGTTCAGGAGCTAATCTGACCGTTCTGTTGTGTGGATGACCACATCAAAAGGCAATTTTAGTGTATTAATCATAGATTATTATAAACTATAAACTTAAGGGCAAGGAGTTTATTACAATGTATCTTTATTAAAATAAAAGGGTGTATAGTGTTCACAAACTGTGAAAATAGTGTAAGAACTGTACATTGTGAGCTCTGGTTATTTTTCTCTTGTACCATAGAAAAATGTATAAAAATTATCAAAAAGCTAATGTGCAGGGATATTGCCTTATTTGTCTGTAAAAATGGAGCTCAGTAACATAGCTGCTTCTTGGAGCTTTGGAATATTTTATCCTGTATTCTTGTTTGAATTCCTCCTCTATTTAAGATATATACATGGAATCGAAGTGTTTATGTAATAGTTCTATCCTTTTGCCTGCAGGTCAGTTGTAATAAATTTAGGATGTGATGATGACTTTGTAATTTGATTTCCTGAAGTCAGACCCTGAGAGGGAAAAATCAAGTAAATTCCATTAAATTATCTGTGCATTTCACATTGGGAAGAATTCTCTTCTTCTGGAAGTGTTTATGGCTCCTTTCTTTTTCTCCTCCCCGTCTTGTGGTTGTTGTATCTCTTTGCTTATTCCTCCCCTATACATACAGACGTATCCTCGAAGCACCTGCTTTGTTTTCTGCCTGAGCAGGTGTGATGCAGTCTCTTCAAGTTTGTTCCTTTGTTGGTTGCCCTCAGCTGCCCCAACTTTCTGGATGCTAAAGGAAGAGGGTACCGCTCTTCAACCTGTGACACGCTAGAGCTACACGGCTCGAAGAACCCAGCCTGCCTTGGCCTGATATGTGGCTTCCTGCCATGCTTTCTGCTCCTGGTGCTGTGGCTGTTGGCTGGGCACAAGACACCAGCTCAGACTGCAGTCCCCATTATCTAAGAGAGGATGAGGAGATTTCTGGGTCAAAGATCTGAGGAGGTCAGACCTGGGAGGTTTGTGGGGGTAAGGGGGAAGAGGAGAGATGGAGCTGAGCAAAAAACTCTGGAAGCCTGAAGAAGGGCTTTGAAGCTCCAGCACTGAACTTACCTATTAACGCTACCACCTCTCCGTTGTTGACCAAATCCTGGCTCATTGATCATACGCAGATTCAGCACCTCACCCTGTGCCTGTTTCTAGCCTGACCTGAGATGCAGGAGATAATCATTCCAGAACCAGCTGCGGTAAGTATCAAACATGCTCCAAGGACCCGCCTGTAGATTCCTTGACCTCTCCAGTGACAACTTAGCTAACAGGAAAGGCTACCCTGTGGTGCTTCTAGAGCCCAGCTCTGCAAGACTGTGTCATGAGAAATAGGTAGACTATGTACTTCATGCTCTGTGAGACTCCCTGTGTCGTTTATTTCTGTTGATCCTGACCGTAGCTGTCCAAAGTCGGGTTGTAGGGTCCCATTTAGATAGAAGAGAGAAAACATAAGGTTGAGAGAAGTAAACTTCTGACTCTGATAATAGTAGCAGGTAGAGGAGGGGGCTAAGATTCAAATCCAAGTCAATAACATGTAGGAAATATTACATTAATTGAAAAACTGCCATTAAAGAAACACAGTGGAGTTGAGAAGTACAAGTGTCTCCAGCTACAGTTGCAGTTACTCTGTTCATAAACCTGACCAAGGCTACCTTTGTTGTCTTGGGGATAAGTTGACATCAGAGGTTCTGGGGGCCACATTAGGGCTGCGTGGCCCATATAAAGGCAGGTGTGAGGAAAGAGGGTACCTTGGAACTAACCAGAGAAGCTCTAAATCCTAATCCTTAGGCACAGCATACCAGAGAATTCAGGATAGCCACCTTCATGTCCCTGTTAGCATGATGACCTCAAGGGGCAGTCACTGATAATGAGGATTCAGCAGGAGAGGAACCAAAGATGGCTTTGAATTAGTATTAAAGTGTCTTTTTACTTCCTAGTTCTGTCCATCTATCTCAGCTGCAGAAGGGTCGACGCAGGACACAGAGGTTCCCGAAAGTGGCCCAGAGCACTGGCTGCCCTGTCTCGGAGGTGCAAGGTGGTTTGTGTCTCCAGCTCTTGGCCATGGCTGGAGGCACCAGCCATATCTATAGCCTCTGTGCTTGTTCCTTGGGATGTGAGGGCTTGAAAACCTAAAAATTGTTGGTCTTGAACTTGTTAACTCCTTTAAATACCTCATGAAGTGGTTTGAAGGAAAATCCAAAAGCCTGAGTGACTCTCTTAAGAGTATATTCCTAGAAACACATGTAATGAAAAGTTGGTTTGAGACTGTGTGTATAAGGAATACTGTTAGTATGTAAACCATCAGCCTCCATACATTTTCTAAATTGATGTATTTCTTTCAGATAAACGAGTATCCAGGAATTCTTTCTGATAATCGAATATCCAGGAATTCTCACCTCAAACCTTGAAATCATTGCAAGGTAACGCAATTCCTGCGTTAGCAAGTTTTAAATTTTGTTTTTCTGAGGACATACCAAAGTGTATTATATTTTTTAACTGTAAAATGTGACTCTGCCAATCTAAAATTGTCAGCCTGAGTAGCATGGTGTAAAGTCACAATTGAGTAATGATAACATAGAAGGAATCCGGTTTCTATCTGCATTTGAAATTTCTGTCTGCATGGACGTTTTGCTGAAGAACTGCAAAACAGGACTTCTATTTTTTTTTTTTTCCTCTAAGCTCTTCTACCCAGATGTAATGTGAACACACGTGTTTGAGGGAGACAGTCCCACACGCAGGGTAGCAGTGTTCAAGAAACTGTAGGTCTCCTGATGTATTGTGGAATCTTCCGGTGAAACCATGTGTTTCCTATTTGATAATGCAACAAATTGGAAGATGTGTTTATAAAGTAGCTAGGCTTTGTTTTTTTGTTTCTTTTTAAAGCTAAGATGTGTTACATACATCTCAGATTCCTGCCAGTTGTATAAACTCTAGTCCATGAAACCATTGGTGAGAATGTTTTATTTCTTTGGAAAAATGCCTTTCAAGCATCTGGGTTAGAAGCATCATTACACAATCATCCCTGCTCACTTTTAATCCCAAATGGCATTTCCCAGCTTTTTTCTTGATTTGCCAGACTGGATCCCAGCACACTTTTGCCCTTTTCTGTAAAAGTAAATCCAGTGTCAAAGCATGGAGCGTTGTTTCAAGTGAGGGCAGAAAAAACATAAGAACTAACTAGATTCAGCTTCTGTTCATGAATATGTCAAGGCCTTTCTTTGAAACCTGCCTTCTCACGTCTTTCTCTCTGCCTTCTACTTCCATTTAGGATCCAAGTCCTTTAGATTAAGTCCCTTAATTTGCTCTAGTTCCTTTGTTTCTACTCTGATTGACATGACACACTCATTTCTCACCGTGTATTTCCTCCTGCTGGCTGATCTTCCTCACCCTGGTTTTGTTCTCCCTCAATCCATCCCCACTACTACCCTTCGTCTTTCTAGAGTGCTGATAGAATAGCATCATTCTTCTGTGTACAAGTCTTTAATATGCAAGAGGAAGGCCAAGCTTCTATGTTTCTAGATGTATAGTTTTATTTAATCCTGAACACATGGGTAGGAACTCTCATCTCCATGTTAAAGGTAAGGAAGTGGGCTCTCTCTGATTGGTAACCTAGTAACTAGGACTAGTGATCTGTCCACTATCACAGAGCCAGTGAGGAGTCCGGAAGACTCAGGAGTAGGGCATGAATCTGAAAAGGTGGACAGGGTCTTAATCATACCTCAAATTGTGCATCACATCAAGGATGGACTTCTTCTCTTGTGTGCTGGAGAACCATATGAGATTCTAAGTGACAAAATGGTTTGGCCTGATTGTACTTCAGAAATATCACTTCAGTGACCTTGTAGGGGAAGATTCGGGGAGATTTGAGGGCCAATTAAGAAACTTGCAATATCAGGGTGCCTGGGTGGCTCAGTTGGTCAAGCATCTGACTCGATCTCAGCTCAGCTACCGATCTCAGGATCATGAGTTCAAACCCCACATTAGACTATGCTGGGCATGGAGCCTACTTAAAAAAGAAAGGAAAAAGGAAAGAAAGAAAAGAAAGGAAGAGAAAGGAGAAACTTGCAGTATTCTAGGCAGAAGTTGGAGGGATTGGAAATGGAGGAAAGGATTTAGCTCAATGGGTTCTTGATGAAATGTGTGGGGTAAAGAATGAGGTCGGGGAGCCTGGGCAGATGTTTTCTGGCTTGGGTGATTGGGCTTGCTTTACAGATCTGTTGTGCCAGGCACGACCTTTCATGGTTCACCAAACCTGCTATCTGCTCTTCAGTGCCTTCTTATTGTCTAAGCTACTTCCTCCTGTTTGAAACCTTTTTTTCCGCTTGTCTATTGAGAGCACCTAGTCATTCTTTAAGACCTGAGTTAAATGGCACAACCTCTAGGAGGGCTTCCCAATTCTGTACTCTGAGCTCAAACCACTTCTTTTTTTTTTTTTTAATCTCTGTACTAATCATGTTCACTTACAGTTATCTCTTCCCATACTTGGCAGTGAGTTATCTGAAGCCAATCTCAACCATCCTGTGGCCCACTGATAGGGTCATCATAGCCATCAAGCAGTGATAGTGCTCTTTTGTTCTTTTAAAAAAAAAAAATCCATATGGGATGCCTGGGGGGCTCAGTGGTTGAGCGTCTGTCTTCAGCTCAGGTTGTGATCCTGGGGTCCTGGGATCAAGTCCCGTATTGGGCTCCCCAAAGGGAGCCTGCTTCTCCCTGCCTGTGTCTCTGCCTCTCTTTCTGTGTCTCTCATGAATAAATACAATTTTTAAAAAGCCATATAATCTTGATGTTTTCACACTTGTTGAAGATAGCACTTCATTCTTTTGAGCCTCAATGATTCTTTTCCCCCAGAACGATGCAAAATAAATTGGATTTCTATATCCGTGGCATATTTCTGCTGAAAGCAAGGAGGCAGATATAGATTCAGCTGACCACACACAGTCAATAGTTAGTAACCAAAGTTTAGGTACCATGTGAGAGAAGCAGGCAGCTATGGCTAAGAAAGTGCCAGTGGCTTCCCTCTGCCAGGATGCTACCGTGGACACCACCAACAGCATTCCTGATTAACGTGTTCATCTGGGGATTACGCCTACTTGTTTCTCTAATACTCAACCATCCTTGAAACCGCTCTGATTACTAGGATAAACACAGCTTGGTGGTGTTTAAGATTCTTGCATCCACAATCCTGAGTGATACAGGCTTATAATTTTCCTTTCTTGTAAGGCAACTTTTTTTTTTTTTTTAATCAAGTTATGTTTGCCTTGTAGGATGAATTAGAGCTTTTCTCTCTCTTTTGTCTGGAAGAGATCACCCCAGTTTTATACATGAAATTGGGATATTCTGTGAAAACTTTTTAGAACTTTTCCTATAAAACTATCTTGGCTTGATGTTTTCTTAGGATTTTTAATCACTGTATCAATTTCTTTAGAAGATAATTTATGACTATTCTTTTGGATCAGTTCTTGGAAGTTTTGATTCTCCTGTGTTATCTATATTGTTACATTTGTTAGCATGTGATTATTATTACTGCT